GGTCAGAAGTATAGGTGACCTGGGATTTGCAACTGGTGTCTGAAGTCGGGGCAGTCTTGTGGGGCTGGGCCCTTTAACTTGTTGAATCTGTTGCTAATTCCAGGTAGATGGTGTCAGAGATCAATTGAATTATTGGACACCCAGCTGGTGTTCAGAGAATTGGATCGTTTGTTAATGTGAAAAGAAACCTCTGATTTGGTGTCAGAAGCATTGTTAAGTAAAAACAGTTCACCTGCATAACTTCCCCCCTTTTGGGAATTCCCTTGCATAATTTCTGCCTTTGATAGCAGAGCTTAGTGGCTCTTTTGATCTCATCATCCAGAAGTACAAAGTTCACCTTTTAAAGGAGAATTAATTATATAAAATATTGTATTTTTAAATTATTTATGTAATTTCTCTTAAGTAAGATTTAACATGCATAGGGCAATATTAATTAATTTAATGTGGCTCATCTTTTGTTTTAAATTAAATTTCCCTAAAAATAATTTTATGTATAATTTTTGTGTATAAATTCCTTATAAGGTGTGTTTTCTCTTTATGTGCTCTCAACATTTATCGAAGACTAAATAATTCCCATTGACAAATGGTGTTTTTACTTTAAGCTGCACTTTCCTATAATGTGATTTCAACATATAGGAAAAACCAAATCATTCCATATATATTTTTCTATACACATAACCTTGATGTGTATAGAATCTAGGTGCTTGGAATTTAGGTTAACAAGATGGACGTGGCCTTTCACATCAGGATGTTTAGTATAGAGAGTGTGTTAGGGAATGATTTCCCTCTTCTAGCCTAGAAGTTCTGCTTCTCTGTACTGCAGCACTTAGTTGGTGGACAGGAATGGTCCACAGGCTCTTGGAAAATTTGTTGGTGTGTAGCAAACAAGCTCACTTCTATTGGTTCCTGGCAGGAAGGAAGGATGCAGCAGCAACTCTGCAATTGTGAGCAATAATTTCCAAGACAGATGTAAGACTGTGCTAATATTGTCAACATCTTGTTGATTAACTTTCTTTGGAAGAGCATGTGTAGCAACTAATCAATAACAAGTCCAAGTCTTCTCTTCTCCTACTACTCACTCTTTGGTTGATGGAAGTTAAAAAAAAAAAAAGAAAAAACTTATGTTTATGTAATTTTTAACAACTACCAGAACAAATCCTGAGTCAATGTTTGACAATCTAAATCCCTTTAAAGTCCTCCTAGGGATTGCAAGTTGTTTATTGATCAAATCCTCGTGTTTAGAAAATGAATTCCTCTATGAAATTGGGGGAAGAAATTCCAGTCATATGAATGAGTTGGTCTTTTCTTCCAAGGCCAATAGTGAAATAATTTATAGAGAAGAATTATAAGCAAATTAGCAATTGAGACACTGGGACTTATCTTCAGAGGAGAAAATCTAAATATTTGTCCAGTTGAAAATAGTCACACTTCTGTCTGTTAAAGAAAAAAGTAAACAAGAGACACAGTATTTAAGTCCTAAGAAGAGTGGCTAGAAAATGAGGATTTAAAATTTTATCCAAGATAAAGAATGAAATAAGCACATTTTTACCTATTTCTCCTTTAAACTAGTTACATCTGTTGAAATTACACATTTATGGACATTAACAATTTGGATAGTTGAGCAATCCTTTATTGCATTTGGTTCCTTAACTATTACTTTTAGGCAGGAGTGATACTAAAAAAATCAGCAACATACATAGCACTGGCACGGCACTAACCAATCAGAACAGACATTCCCTTGTGCAGGCTTTTTTCTTTACTCTTTATTCTTTATTCTATAGCTGCTTGATCAATAAGGAGTCTTAGTGTAGGACCTTAGGTGACCAGGATGAGGTAGGAGATCTTCAGAGGAAACCAGAGAAGGAGCAACATATAAACTAGTAAGGCAATACCAATCATCCTTGCTGAATATAAACTCTTGCTTTAAGTCGAAAGTCAAACTCCATTATAAAAGACATCACAGTACCATCCCAGTGTTTTTTTTTCTGGGATACTATTTTGTCTTAAGCAATTGTGTTATTAGCATAATCCCAATTATACGTTCTTGAGTTAAAGCTGAAAGAAAAAACCTGAGGCGTAGTCTTCAGGTTAAACGTCAACGAGGAAATGCAAGGTTCTTAACAAAATAGAAAGTTTTAATGTTATGTGCTTGTCATTTCAACCTCTTCTTTTTTCATGCTCTTAAATGTTTTGGTATGTTACATTTAGTTTGGATGGTGTATTAATCAAGGTACACCAGAGGGGAAAAAAAAAAAAAAAGACCAATGAGGTGAGGAGAGAGAGAAATAAGATTTTTTATAATTTGCTCATGCAATTGTGGGGACTGGCAAGTCCAAAATCTGTAGGGCAGACAGGCAGACTGGAAATTCAAGTACGAGTTGATGTTGCAGTCTAGTATCTGAATCTGCAAGGTAGGCCAGCAGGTAGAAAACTCAGGCAGGGTTTCCATGTTCCAGTCTTGAGACATAATGGTGTCTTCATCTGGAGACCTCAGTCTTTGCTCTTCAACGAATAGAATAAGTACCATCCACATTATGAAGAGAGCAATCTGCTATACTTAAAGGCAATTGCTTTGAATGCTAATCACATTCACAAATACCTTCACAGTAACATCTAGACCACTGTTTGACCAAATAATTGGGCATCATAGACTTGCCAAATTGATACATAAAATTAGCCATCACTGATAAGTATTTTTGAAACTTAGTAATAGGAAGGATGATGGAACTGCTAAGGTATGGCAAAATAAAATACCCATGACTAATCCAGTACCTTTCAATATGTACTTTATGCTGGGCCCACTGCCAAGTGCCTCTCTCTTCTACACCTTACAATAGCTTGAAGGGGTAAAGATTGTTATTATTTCACTTTGTACATGACCAAACAACGATTAGGAAAGATTGCATCACTGTGCTGTATTAATTTCCTATTGTTGCTATAACAAGTTAGCACACATGTTGTGGCTTTAAAACAACACAAATTCATAATCTTACAGTTCTGGAGGTCAACAGTCAAAACTGGGTCACACTGGGCTAAACTTAAGGTGTCAGCAGGGCTGTGTTCCTTCTGGAGGCTCTAGGTCTAGAGGAGAGTCCATTTTCTTACTTTTTCCAGCATTTAAAAGCTTCTTATATTCTTTGGCTTGTCATCTCTTCTTCCATTTTCAAAGTCAACAGTCTAGCAGTTTCTAACCTCTCTGATTCTGACCTCCTTTTTGGGATGACATTCGTTCCACTCAGATGATTCAGGATAATCTCCCACTTCAAGATTCTTAACATAATCATACCTGCAAAGTCCCTTTTGCCAGATAAGGCAACGTATTCACAGGTTTCAAGGATTGAGACACTAGCGTCTTCAGGGAGCCATTACTCTGCCTGTCACACTTGCTTAGTCTCACACAGCTGATAGTAGTGAAGCCAGGATTCAAACCCAGTCCCATCTAACCTAGAGTCAATGATCTTGACCATGGTGGCTTTTCACCTCCCACAAATACCATGCAAAAGGAATTTAAGTCATTAGGGTGACTATGTATTTGAGCATGAGCAGCGATCATCAAAAGCATTGGTCATAGAGAAGCAAGCAGGTTCACAAAGCACTGCTTAATAAATTATCCACTGGCACATGGAAATGCTTTGTTACAAAGAATGCTTAAACCTCTGGGATTTTACTTTCATGACCAACTGAAACAGTGAATTATTCAGGCTTCCAACACTAAAATAATGCTTCTCTGATCACATAGATTAGTAACAGCCAAATTTGGAGAAGACTGAATTTTTAAAGAGTATCTTGGAAGAAGAAAGAAAGGAGACAAACAAGGACACTTTAATGCCAAAGTTAGGGCTACTGTCCTCACACAGAACACCCCAAAATCTCAAGGATCAGTTCGCCGACTTGACCAGCTCCAAGAAGCCACATGGATAAAATAGGGTTGGAAGAATTCAGAAAATAAAGCTTGGAAACCCCCAGCTTGAGAGAGAAGGAAGAAGGATGTATTTACTTGGATAAAGAGAGTTCAAAACAAAACTCCGAAAAAATCACAAATAAAATCACCCAAGGAAAATGAAAAATAATAAAACAGACAATCCCGTGTGAACACACTGTCTATTCTCCTTTAACGGTCTTTTTGCTAATTTCTCAGTTCGTCAAGTTGCATGACAACATTTAAAAAATGACCATGGAAACAGCCTGTTTGAAGGGCTTGTAGCAGAGCACAGTGGGCAAGCATGCCCAGTTTATAAGGCAGATGCACACACACACACACACACACACACACACAAAAACTTACCTTGATTTTTCAGTAACTTGATTTCTACTTCCATTTTCTCCACCCTGGGAGATATTTGGCTGTTGATTTAGAGATATTATCAGCTCTGAAATGCTACTATTCTCCTTATGTTTATAAGAAGGAAGATTAAACAAAAAGAAAAGAAATTTCCATCTGCCTTCTATAACACTTCCCTAGGAAAAACTGATTGCTTTATAATAGGCAGCAGTGGTTTTCAACTGGGGCTTTTTGTGCCCCAGTGGGCATTTGGCAATGTCTGGAGACATTTTTGGTTGTCAGAACAGGAGGTGGGGAGGCAGGTACTACTGGCTTCTAGTGGTAGAGGGGATGCTGCCAAGCATCCTACGATGCACAGGACAGCCCCCATAACAAAGAATGATTCAGCACAGAGTGGCAATAGTAATAAAGGTTGAGAAAGCCTGACCTATAGCCCAGTGGATAAGAACAGGGCTCTGGAAGTAGATAGCCTGTATTCAAATCCTGGCTTCACTACAGATTAGTCTAACACCTTAATGTTTCCATATCTCCACTTCCTTATCTCTAAAAGAGATAACAAATACACCCACTTTAGAGGGTTCTTGTGGGCATCAAATAAGTTAGTCAAGGTAAATGCTTAGAGTACAGCCTGACAAATAACATGCATATCACAAATGATGCACATATTGTTAAATATATCTCCACAGACTACTAACCTCACAGGCTAAAAATTGCTTACCTGTTTAGCTTCCTCGACTCACTCACTGAAGTGTGAGCATCCTAAGGACAACACTGGATCTTTATTGTTTGCTTCACCTCAGCACCAAGCACAGAGATTAAGGAGACTTAGAAGAAATGAGATGCCGAAGATTCAATCCACAGATGGTAGCTATTGTCATTGGCCATTGCCCACATCCACTCAGCCCTTGGCACTCCAGGTCCCATGGCTTGATGTTCTCTATGATCGAGGGCTTTCTCTGACCTGAAGTGCCAGGGACTCAATACCACCAGTAAGCAGCCCTCAATCAATAACAGATGGAATTGGTGTATTAATACCCCAGTTCCCCCGGCCCTCACGAGCGTCACTGTGAGGCACATGTTCCCCACTATCTCAGGCTTCCCCAGCAGGTGTAAGCTCCAATTGCCCAGAACAGTGCCTTGCTTCATGACATGCCCTTTCCTGATTGCCTTCGCATCCTTGTCTTATTTTCCCCTTCTTCTGCCAGTGTTTTGTGGCTTAACCTCCCACATAGGCGACTGTACTCTGACCCTGGTCTTCGAGCTGGCACCGGAGCAACTACAACTAACACAGCACTCCAGGAGTAGGATGGACAAATTTCTCCAGGAAGATGATCTCCCTGACTAAATATTCCTGCACATTCGTGGGAGATAAAAAATCACAGTGCTTGGACTCAGGCTTCACTCCTGTCCATTTCTCATCTCTTGGGAAGCACGTCCCTTTCCACAAGATGGCAGGTACGGAAACGGGAAGTAGAAGGGAAAAAAATCCATTTTCAGAGTGATGAACTAAGTAATTTGCCTCCAGGTCTGAGACGGGTATGAAATGAAACTTGAGGTAATCTTCCGAGCAGAGCTTGGGGGCACCTGTGACTTTTAAATGGAGCTACTCTGTTTCTAGGGAAATACATACTTTTAAAAATTATGCTTGAGGCTAAAAGCTTCCAACAATAAATCTCCCGGAGGCGCACTCCTCTAGGGACAAATATACAGGGAAATCTTCAAAGAGGGTGCTCGGTTTATCACTTGGTGTCTCTTTCCCACTGAGGAAGGAAATCCCTTTGTTTCCACTGAGAAATCAAGTCCACTGGGACCTCTTCGAAGGATCAAGAATTCTTCAGCTCCTCCCATCCCCACCACTTAAAGACCACAGATCATTTCATTCTGAAAATAATCCTTTGGGGGTTGAAAGCAGACAGCATATTAGCAATCGATGCTGTTCCTCTTGACCTGAAGAAAAAAAAAGAAAATCAAACATATGAATAACAACAAGTACCCATCCTGCTGTGAAATAAAAATATAATCTCACATCTGTTCTTTCATCTTTCATGGAAAACCGGGTGATACTATTACTAAGAATTTGTTGAGCACTTACTATGTGTCTTAGTCTGTTTTCTATTGCCTATAAACAGAATACATGAAACTGAGTAATTTATAAAGAAATTTATTTTTCACAGTTATGGAGGTTGAGAAATCCAAGGTCAGGGGTGTGCAGCTAGTGACAGTCTTCTTGCTGATGGGGACTACAGAGTCCTGAAATGGCCCAGGGCATAGCATGGGAAGGGGGCTGAATGTGTTAGCTCAGGTGTCTCTTGCTGTTCTTATAAAACCACCAGTCCCACTCCTATGTTAACCCATTATCCATTAATCTATGAATGGATTAATTCATTCATAAAGCCAGAGCCCTCATGACACAATCACCTCTCAAAGGACCCACCTCTCAGTACTGCCACACTGGAGATTAAGCTCCAACGATAGTTTCAGAGGAGACAAACATTTAAACTGTAGCACTCTGTATAAGGCACTTAAATTTATCTCACCTAAAAACTCCACAAGATAAGTAACAGTATGTCCATTTTACAGATGGAGAGTCTGAGAGGCAAAGCTTTAAAAAATTGATGAAGGTTATGCCATTAGCTCATAAACAGCAAAGCTGGGATTTTTTTTTAACCCAGGAGAGCCTGACTTTAGAATTTTACACTCAGTGATTGCCTTACGTGAAACTTAAGTCAATTTAACTAATAAACATCATCTGAGGAAAGCTGATTAATTATTCCGCTAGATATCAGGCAAGAAAACAGGGAGGATATAAAAACTGACAGTCGTCAGAGGGAAAAGCCCAATGAATGGGGAATAATTGCTGCCGATGGCTAGTGAAGTCTTCCATCTGAGATTCCATAATCATCATAAACTTTATTTCTCATATGTACATGAAACGTGTGCAACTACAGTACAGTTGTTGAAGAATCTAATTTGCAGGAAAATGCAATTAAATCTAGGAGTAACAGAATTAATAGAAAAATGAGAGTTGGAGATGAATCTATCCTCACTAAAGAAAATGAGGAAAAGAGACCCACGTTCTACTGCACTGAGACCAACACTGTGACTGGAAAACCTCACAGTCTCCTGCGAAGTGAATATGCTCAACTCTCTTCACATTCCCCATCTGTCTCACACTCAGAGCCGTGTGTCAGACTGCCCTAGCCCAATTCTGAGCTCCAACACTCACTAGCTATAGGGGCTTGAGAAGTTCCCTCATCTTTTGTGAGCCTCTGCTTCTCACTAAAATGCAGCCAGGGCTAACACCTTCATGAAAGGATTGTTGTGAAGATGAAATGAGAAATGCGTGCAAAGGCATGACTCCGTGATCAGCAAGTAATAAGCACTCAGCAAATATTCCTGGGTCTCCTTAGGCCCTCACCTGAATCCTGAGAGTGCCAGGCAGTGCACACAGACACCACTGGCCCCAAGCTCTATCCAGTGGCCTTTGAGCTTGGCTTCCTTTGCAGACCAAAGGAAGGGGAGGGCCCTCTTTCATTCCCAGCCCCCTGGGATAAGATCTTACAGGGATGAGCCTAGAAGAAAATCCAGCTGTAAGTGCATGGATTCTCATGGTGCTTTGGTATGCACTGAGCAGAAAGAAAATGCTTATAACCAGGGGTAGGTGCATAAACAGGTGGGTGTTAGGAAGACTGATGAGTGGCCCAGAATATGACCTCTTTCTTCAGAGGTTCATAAAAATAGCCCTTATTGACTGAAATTATTTTAAAGAAATTATTCCTAGTCCTCATCATATATCAATAAAATTGCTCCATTATCTCCAGTTTACAGGTTGGATTGATCTCAAAGTTCAAGTATTTTACCATAAAGCCCCAGCTGGGAAGAGGCTGATTTGGAATACACACTCAGACATCCTGGTTCTGCACCCTGTAATCTTTTCACTCTCCCTTCTGTGTCCCTCTTGAGTGATTAGTGTTCCTACAGATACCTGGAAACAGTGGGCTGTAGACAGAGAGATGAGCTGCTCAGCTCAGACCTCCCTTCAGGAAAGGCCTTACCATCTAGCTGAGGGGTGTGGGTCAGCAAAGTGTACTCCCCCCCTTGCTATCTGTTCTTGAATGCAGGGACTGCCACAGCTGCAAAGTGCCAACTAAACCCAAGTCATGCTTTCAGAGCAGCTCCCATAGTGATAGAGCACGGTGGAGGCATAAAGGTCCAGTCATTTCTGTCCAAGGCAGGACACTCTGATGGGCAATACGAGCCCCAGAGCTCCCTAAAGGGTTGGCAGGGATCAGAGTTTCATGTCAGTTCAACATCTGCCTCTGCCCAATCTTGCTTTCTCCCCTTCTTTTTATAGGTGTTAATCCCAATAAATACCTTAAACTCCCAATTTTGCCTCCAAAGAACCCAACCTGCAGTACAAAATGAAGTACACAGTGTGGTCTACAGAGCCACCCTGATCCTAAAATCACAATCATTCCCATTCAGAGGGCCCAGGGAACTCAAGTCTTTTAAGCCACGGAAAGGTAGGCTCAGGTAGGGAAAAACAGAAGTTGAGTTTTGGAGTCAAAAGACCTCTATTGGACCCTTAGCTCATCCACTTTCTATCTCTGTGTTAAGCAATCCAAATGACCTCACTCAACCTTATAGGAAAATTAGAACTAATATTACTTCATGGGATCAATCAAGACAATGCAAATAAAAATCATAGTGCATTTTATAATGCTTATCACTGTCATCCTGACATATCCCCCTCTTTCTGTTATAGATGAATGGGCATAGTTATTTGTGGCATGGGAGAAATGCTTCTCTCTTTCCCAATAATTCAATTCCCCTCTCACTGAAGGAGAGTAAATTCCATTCTTTTCCAAAAGTCTCCGAAATCAGCAGGCCCAGCAGCAAGAAAGCGAGGAACATTGTTATTCTCGTACAGCAAAGCTGTAGCATATAATTAAATCATTAAGAGGCAAATTAACTCCTCTAGCAATACTCTTCTAAGTATTTGTGGGCAAACCCATTAGCATTGTGCCAGTAAACTCTGAAATTTCTTTGCTTGCAGACTGAGTAACTACAGCCTCAAAGGCAAGGGGTGGGGTGGGTAGTGTGGTGTATGGTGATTTGACCTACCATGGAGATACAAGGGAGTGTTAGGTTGGGAAATAGATAGGATGCTAACAGTGTATTGTGACTGTATTTCATAAACCCTTGAAAATATAGCTGCCAAATTTCTTCTACATAGAGCCAACAATAAATCTATTTGTTTCCCAGGAAAATCATTCAAGAGTTTTTGGTTTCCCATTCACTTAGTCTTCATCAACTGCCCCCAATTTTGCTGAATTCACTCAGCTTGGATTATTTGGTTCTGGAGAGGACATAGCTAGGCAGGGTTACTGAGTCAGTAGAATGGGCATCTTCCAGTGGGACATTTTGGAGCTGTTTATTTAGCAGGGTTTTCAGAATAATGAATATAAAGTTGGCTTTGACTCTGTAGCCAAATATATATTTATGCCATTGACTCAAATTCAAGCTGACCAATCTGGTTGGCTGTCTGCAGCCTTCAATTCTTCAAGGCTTGAGTGTTTCAGTCAATATGTTGATCATTTATATGATGACCCTGCTTAAACCATTTAATAAAATGTAAACAACATGAAAGTGTATTGGAAGTCAACATAGCTCATTATTGCTGCCTATACACTCATCGAAATCCTGAGCAGGGCGTCTGACCGGATTGGAGGTTTCCTCCAGAGTCATGCAAAAATTTCAGCTGTGAAAAAACATTTTTATGGCATGTAAGATTAGCCCACACTAATGCAAGGTCAAAAATAATAGAATCAATAGGCAAACTCAATACTGTTAACATTTTGAGAAAATTACTACCAGAAAACAATGTCAACAACAGATTGAAATGGGTCTCCAAAGTCGTCCCATTGATTTCCTTTCACTTTGGTGACAATCTAACTCTTTCTTTTATGCAATATGGAATGTTTTAGCCTTCTTTTCCCCCAGCTCTGCTTTAAACATGGAATATTTCTGTTGTACTCTTTTTGACTGATGTCAAACATTACATGTGTCAGAAAAACTTATATTGTTGTCCGTATCTAAGACAACTGAATATGAAAATTTATTCCATCATGTAGAGCCTTTCATGGGTCTTTAATTTAGGGCTCAGTTGATAAATTCAAGAGTTATTTTAATTATAGCAAGGCATCCAAATGCAAATGTAAACAGTGTCATTAATAAATTATCAACTAAGTAAAAACCTAATACAGGAAACAGACGGACTTGAACATAGTTTTATATCAACTATATCGCAAGCATTGTCATCACCCTTGATGTTTGAAGGAGAGCTTACTGTTTGGCAGATCCAGGTTCTTTAGTATTGAGAGATCAGACAGTAGCCATGCATTAGCAAAGGAGTTAGCAACCCCCACTCCACCCAAGACTTTTCTGCCCCAGTCTTTCCATTTTAGTCAAAGGCTCTATCACCCCCAACTCCAACCACTGATTTATTCAAACTAAAACCTTAGGAATTATCATTACTTTCTCTTCTCATAGTCAATCCTCTTTCTCATAGCCAATCCATCAGCAAGTTGTGGCAATTTTAACTCTAAATTATATTCTGAATCCATTTACTGAACTCCATCTCTGGTTATGCACTGCAGTAGCGTCTTTCTTGGTCTCCTTCTTCCGATTTTCTATTGAACAGGGCATTACAATCACTTAGAAACACAAATCAAGTCCTTAAAACTCTTTCATGGTGTCATTGCCCTTAGTATAAAACCCAGACCTCCATGTCATTACCTACCGGGCCCTATATAACCTGTCCTTGTCCACTCTCCTTCCTCATCCTTGGTCACTCCATTCCCAACTTCCTGAGCTCCAGCCCCACTGTTCTTTCGTGACTCAGAACATGCCAAACTCAATAATATTTCAAGGCCTTTGCCTGGGCT